ACTACTCAGAGACCAGGGGAAATTACTAAAGTCCAAGTGAAAAACCCCAGCCTTCACCGGGGCCTGAACCCAGAACTCGAGGCGGACGCCTTGCCTCGAGACCACTCAGCCTTCTCACTATCATCTAGAAAGACCGCAATCATATCAACATCTTCTAACATCATTTAAATAAAACATCCACTGATCATCATCTAACACCAATCGCAACACATACAAAGAACGGTTTCTAATAGCAAATATGCAGAACTCATCATACATCTTCTAACATCATTTATATACATTAACCAATCACCTTTTAACGCCAACCTTAAAACATTCAAACATTCTTCAAACATGATTAATACATGTCTACAAACAACACACATTAATTACTTTCTAGCACTATTCGTGTATCACATTCGCCCAATAAATATATAAATACAGTGTCTATTTTAGCACCTGCCGTAACAATTACAATCTGACAAGCTACTTACCTTTCACAAGAAAACATTCACACTGGTCAAGAATTCACAAATGAGATATATTAAGCTTACAGACAAACTCAAGCTACGCTGACGGTTGCAGGGAGCAATCTTCTTCTACTTCTTCCATTTATCCCTGAATAAAGCAAGCATTTGCCCTCAAACAACTACAGTAAAACCGCGATTATCTTAAATCCATATTATCTGTCATATTTTTAAACAAAACATAATTCTCAGTAACGAAGAGGCAAGAGGGCAAACAGCATGAAGGAGTCTCGGTCAATTATTTTTTTCCACACTCAAAACAACAATTAAAAACTTAAGTTTTGACTATTTCCTCTTAGGCTGAACATTTCTCATTTGTAAAATTACTAATCAATTAACAGTTAATTATTAAAAAAAGGGTTTAAATTATTATTGTAAGTAAACCTATGTTTTACTTCGATGTTTTGTTCATTTTAGATGTATGCATGTGTATTCAAACTGTATGGTGTACATAATTTTATTTTTCCTGCAGTTAAGTTGGATTTTATACATTTTATCTTAAGATTTAAACAATAGTGTTATTTATTAGTCTTCCTGTTTCTGTATTAAAATGTTTAAAACCTACAAAAAATACATGGGAAACATTCATAAAGTACCTGAATATAAAAAGGTGTTTTTTATTATAGGGTGGGGGAAGAAATCTGAGTATGTGTAGAACTCTACAATATCCAGCTTTTTTGTTATCCAGCCCAACCATTCCCACACAATGGACCAGATGTTGTAGTCTACTGTAATGCCAAAGTGTCTTGTCTTTTTGCAACTACATGTAGCTCTAGGTCCTCACATTTTTTTTTTCCAAATCACTTTCTAATTCTTATCTCAGTGTGTTTTGGTCTGCTTTTTTTCCCACTGACCTTGGGTGTTCCACATTTATTTGGCTATGAGGTTTTCTCATGTGTCATATCCCATACCAGAGTTTTTTCCTCACCTCTCTACTTCTGTTGTGTTAAATACATGAACTGCAATTGTTTCCAGGGCCCTTATGGTAAACAAAGAAAAGAAACACTGCATTTGATCATGTATGTTCTAGGAGGCAACTAAGGGCAGGGTCGGGCTGGGCTTTTGGTACATCATTCCGTAAAACCATAAACAAAAAAGCCAAGAATGAAAAAAAGAGAATAAAGACTAGGATGACCTGAGTTGTTTGAGGATCTATGCTCCACCGGGGAATAAAGGGCAGAAGAGAAAATACATGAACATCTAAACTGCCACACCTGGTACACCAATTCTAACATCAACGACAAGTTGTAAAGAACTAACATAAACAATGCTCAAGAAATAAAGTTGCAGGTCAACAATTAATGGCAAAGTTTCAGAACAGCAATATAAAAAAATATAATTTATGAGTCACAAGCAACATGTTTTCACGTGACCTTCTGGGAAACAAAAATTCTGCATAAATAAAACATAATTCCAACAAAATATCCCTAAACTTCGGTTTCTAGCATGACCAAAAAATCTGTATTTTTGTGGTCCCAACAATATACTGCAGGTTTCAGTTCTTAGTATGACCACAGAATGTTGACTTTTGCATAGTTCTAACAAAATATTCTGGGTTTCTGTTCCCAACAATGCCAAATAATGTTGATTGATCCTAACAATATATTACATGTTTCTGTTTCTAGTATGACCAAAAAATGTTGATTTCTGCACATTTTTCTGTTTCTAAGACCAAAGATTGATTGCTGTACAGTCCCAACAACATATTCCTAGCTTCTGAACTTTCAAGACAAACGCTTGATGTGCATAAGCCCAACCATATATTCTAGGTTTCTGTCTCTAGCAAAACCAAGGAATGTTGACTACTGAACAATCCAAACATCTCCTAACATGGCATAAAGAGTGTTATTTCTGCTGTGGTCTTAACAATATATTCTAGGTTTCTGCTCCTAACAGGACATAAAGACTGTTGACTTCTGCATCGTCCTAACAAAATTTTCTAGGGTTGTGTTCTTAACAAGACCAAAAACTGTTGATTTCTGTGTTTAAAAAATCGATCAAAAAAGTCTAAGAGCTTGCTTCCAAACCACATTTATATCATCATTCAGGAAAATATTGTTGACTAGAGCAAAACAAATTATCTTATGAAACTATGAAATGAATGACAAGTGGTGTAACAGTAACAACTTGCTAGAACCCTTCTAATTTTCATAACACTGACTGGGGGAAACACATGCTGACAACACAATTAAGGTCCTCGTGTGGGTTGCAGTGTTCCCATTTTGGCAACAAAAAAAGCAAAGACCCACTGTCCCCTCCCAAGCTAATCGTAAAAAAGGTGACTAACTTGTTATTTGCTGAAACTGGATGCGTTGGGCCGGAAGGCAGAGGTATCGCAGCCTAGCTGTAAACCACAATAAAATGTGCCAACTGCCCTATTGAAGCCTAACACAAAAAGAAGATCTGGTGAAGAGATCTACTCCCCCATCATCAATGAATACTGGGGACACTGTGAAGGCTGTCTAGACCAAATCACTGCTGGGGGAGAGGAGGGTTGAGGGGGGGGGGGGGGGGTGTAGTGCTACACAGGTCACTTACTTCACTGGAACCTGTACCCTTTTGAGGGTGACACTGGAACCTGTACCAGTTTGAGGGTGACACTGGAACCTGTACCCGTTTGAGGGTGACACTGGAACCTGTACCCTTTTGAGGGTGACACTGGAACCTGTACCAGTTTGAGGGTGACACTGGAACCTGTACCCGTTTGAGGGTGACACTGAAACCTGTACCCGTTTGAGGGTGACACTGGAACCTGTACCCGTTTGAGGGTGACACTGGAACTTGTACCCGTTTGACGGTGACACTGGAACCTGTACCCATTTAAGGTCGACACTGGAACTTGTACCGTTTTAGGTTGACACTGGAACCTCTACCCATTTGAGGGTGACACTGGAACCTCAACCCGTTTGAGAGTGACACTGGAACCTGTACCCATTTAAGGTCGACACTGGAACTGTACCCGTTTGAGGGTGACACTGGAACCTGTACCCATTTGAGAGTGACACTGGAACCTGTACCCATTTGAGAGTGACACTGGAACCTGTACCAGTTTGAGGGTGACACTGGAACCAAGACACCACTCATAATATTTAAAAAAAAATAATAATAATCTGTGTCACGTGAAATTTAGACCTAGGACCAATGGAAAAGCAAACGAATGCACTTGGCACTATGCTTTCATGACTACTATGCTGAGGAAAAGTCAACAATCAATCCTTCCGTAAAATTTTTGACTATGAGATGCCGCAAATCAGACACTTCCAACTGGGCCTTTCAAGAATGTGTTTGTGGAGATGTAAGGATTCTCTGCATGTCCCTTTTAATGTGCTGTATAAGCTGGTCTTCATTTCTCTAAGGTTGCACTTGCTTCCCCCCCCCCCCTTCCTCCTCCCCTCCATCCTTTGTGGAGTTTACCACCTGCTCTGTGTTTATTATATTTTCAGCAATGTGGCTCACTGTAGCAGCTGATATCCCAGCATTCTTATTAGACGACCAAGCCATGTCAACTTACATTTTTTTAAATGTTTTTTTAAAATTCTCATGGCCCCCTGGATGTTTACAAAAAAAATTGCTCACGGCTCAAAATTCCTTCTACGTCTCTTCCTGTAGTTTCTTAGCCATAGGGATTTAACATTATTCAAGGAAAGTTACTCAACACCAAGCATTGCATAGATTTTCCTGTTCTGTTTTTAAATTACTGTATGTTACACAACTGTAGACAAGACGCAGACTTGTCTCTGTTCAATTGTAGTGTTTTTAGTTTTCTGCCCTATAAAAATATTTTTTAAATGAGACTTTTCAAAATATTAAATTTTATTTAAAGAAAATACATCCTTATAATTTTCTTAAACTACCATAAAAAAGCTAGAGAAAGAGAAGAAGAAGCAAAAGAAATTTGGTGTCTTGAGCAGTTTTTTTAAAACATCTAGAAGGTCAAAGCCCAGACCACCGACCTGGCAAGCAAATGTGAAGCTCACAGCTAAATCATGGCCATACAAATCACTAAAATAATCCCTATCAACAGTTATTTTGTTTTTCTCGTAAAATAACAAAATAATTATGACTAATTCCAGTGCTGATCTTTTTCTAATCTGTTCATTATTTTAATAATACTTTTTATGTATGAAAATCAAAGGTAACCAAAGCTGAAAAGAGTCAGTCAGCAAAAGCGGTCCATCAAAGCTTCTTAAAAAACTGTACAAAAATGGATGTCCCTCAGCATAAAACCATGACAGCTAATCACTCGTATTAAATGCCAGATTTGAACAGAACAGTTGATTCACCAGTAGACATGATGATGGCAATGATGAAGATGTCCACAGAGATGATGAGAAAATGCTATTACAACACTGAATAATAAATGACAACACAGAAGTACATATCCCGGCTCTATGACTACAAGTACTGGTGGACACACAGATGGGAGCAATGCTGTGACATGAATGAATGATGGCTGTGGTGGAGATACTGATGCCCAGGGCACAGAACCTGATGCTATGACTGGTAGAGCAGATACTGTTTAAGGGATGTAGGGATGGGTAAGGAGTGCGTCTCTTGAAGCCGATGTTTCCCTAGCTGTGCCCGTATTGTTCGTCGACATATATCCATGAGTGGAAGAGGTTCCGCTGAGGAGAACAAGAAATAAATTCACTTGTTATATTTTCTGTGCATTTTAATTTACTTACGTCAGAATTGGGACATCTAGCACACCCCCTCCACCTTATTTTTACAACAGAAGACAATCCCAGTCAGCACAAAGAAACATCTCATACAAAGTATACTCATTTTAACTCTATGCTGCCAGTGCCAAACATGGTCTCTCATAACAAACCAGAAAACAGAATTAGTAACCACTGAAACGAGATGTCGGACAAGGGCAGTAGGAGAGACCAGAAGAGATCAAATCAGGAAAAGTTGACACAAACAAATTATATACAAAGACAGCAAATCAAATGGTTTACCCATTTTGAATGCCTTGGGATGCCATACCATGTTAGGCATCCAATAAAAGTGGAGATGGATGAAGATCAAGAGGAAGACCAAGAGCAATATGGAAGGATAACATCAGAAAAACTCTAAAACAGCACGATATGTCTATGGTCGAGGCAGCCAGAACAGCAAGAGGCAGAACCTTAATATCTCTATCGACACCCAAAAGAGGTTAAGGAAAAAGTAAAGAAAAAGATTTCAATACCTTTCGTTTAGTATAATAAAATTATTTTTTTTAAACGTGTGCCATTTCTAAGATAAATAACCTGAACCATGTAAGAAAATAAAACATGAATCATTTGATAAAATACAACTTGAATCATTTAAGAAGAACAACTTTAACTAAAAAAAACAAAACTATCACTGCTGACTTTTCCTAAGCAAATAAAGTGATTGCTATCTTCACAATGAAGTCTGGCTACAATGTACACACTGCCATGTCTGGGAAAATTATACTGCAGAACTTATAACTGTGATAGCTGTCCGCCATATTAATTATTTACTTCATTTTCCGAAGCAATTGGAAGGATAGCAAGTGCTACTTCTCTATATTTTTTAGTTTAATTTATTATTACAACTCTGAACTCATTTCACTTTTTGTAGCTGTGCATTGCTAAGGGTCAATGATCACACAGAGAAAATATTTTCATGCCTAGTTCAGCTTCAGAAGGACAAGAACACAGACCTGATTCAAGACTCTTGTGATGATATGAAATGGTTAGTTATTACCATCCATGCTCATCAGCATGGCATGTGATAATGATGAAGTAACTCTTTAAGGCCCAAGCAACGGTGTGAGCCTTGACTGAGAAGTTCCGTTTTGCCCAAACAACACTGTCATCGCCGATCATGTATCCCGTAATTTTGCTTCGTGTGCAGCTCCGCGCTTGTTTCTAATGTTTGGAAGTGCGATTAAACTATTCAGAGAAAGTCACACTGCCGAAATCTTTTCAGATATTTTATCTATCAGAAACCACACGTGCATATTTTGATCGGATTACAGTGAAATTTTTTTTAACAGTGCACTTTCTAAGTTTGTTTTCGAGTGGCATGAATACCAATGTTCCCACCATAAGTACACGTCGCAGAATGCGTCTGAAATGCGCCGAAGCTCTGAAATTGTTTCAGTCAGATGTTTTTAATTCTAATAATGATAAGGACAATTTAGATTTCTCAGAAAGTGATTCAGGAGGTGATTTTTCACCAGCGAAGCTGAGGGATCAGCTGTTCTACATCTAGCGATTCTGATGAGTCTATTACACAATGTCCCATTGCTACCGTATTTATGGTATAAGAGAAGGAAAGTGCTCTAAACATAGAGATTGTACCATTCTATGGTTAAGCTACATTGAAATCATCGCAGTTACAGTCTGTATATAACTGTACAAAGTAAAGTAAATTGTGTGTAATGGCTCATTTTTTGGCCATTTTTCTCTCTGAACTTTTGCTCAGCATTGTGAGAACTAAGAGCCCCTAAGTGCTAAACTAACCCAGAAACATATCATAACTTTGGAATTTGTTAGGAAATTGAATTAACTTTAAAGTTTTGTTTTCAAATACTCTTGTGGCTGCAAAATCATGGTAAGTGAAGAATTTGTTTGTAAAATGTTGTTGTGAAATTAACACCTGCTGAATTCTTCTTTCCTACTTAACTATAAACAAATTAAACATACTTATCATCAGATTCAAAATGTGCATTCATTTCTCTTTTTAAAAAAATTTACTTTTATTAGGATTAGAAGTAGAAGTATATTACATTCTCTATTGCCTTTCTTGTACACCCACCCCTCTGCCATTTTTGTAAAGGGAAATTAATGTGGGCCAAGTCTGTTAAAATTCATGGGCCTGAAAGAGTTAACAGCAGCATGTGTGCCTTGAGGGAAGACAAGCAGTGGAACAGCTTCCTCTTCTGTTCAAAGTCCTTGATACACTTTTCAGCACTGGACAATAATTAGGACTTCTAGGCAGAGCATGTCTAGTTTGTGCTACTTACTTCCGTAACATTGGGAGCGTTCTGCATGGGGATACATAGAGATGGCAAGACCCACCAGGTGTGGCTAAATGCTAGACTTATGCACGAAGGTCTAGATTTAAAATCTACATAGAGGCTGATTATTATCAAAACTGACCTTTGCTCCTAAGGTGACCCAGCTTAAAATCAGGACCAGGTAATGTCCTGGGAGAGTAAAGGTGGCCGGCATGATGTTTACTACATCACGTATGAAGTGATGACTGGGTGTACACAAACAGAGGCCTGACACTATGTGAGTCCAATGCTCCAAGGATAAACAGGCACCTTTACTTTGACTTCTATCCCACTAAACCCATACATTTTTTGACCAATTAGATATAGGCCCATGCACCAGAATTGATTCTAAATAGCTCTTAAGAGCTCCCCTTCTCACTTTAATGAACAAAGATCAATTAGACACCATTTTTTTTATTTATAAGATAATACTACAATATCTTTTCCTTCAGCGTTTCAAGCACCATGTTTACTGCTGCAGAAATCACTTGCCTTCCTTTATCTATATTATTGGCCTCCTCATTTTCAAGTGTTTGTAGGTCTGCCTGGATACATTATCACTCCATCGGTTTCATGGTCAACCTTGTGGTCTAGCCATTCAACACCCTTGTGTACACAATTTTTGCCTCTTGGTCATCTACTATACTTTCCATATACCTAGCCTTTTCAGTCTCTTTGCTCTCATGATGCCAGTGATCAATGGTAATTTAAATAGACTTTGAATTTCAGTGTTGCTTCTTACTATCCATTCCCTGTTGTTTTCTTCTCTGACTGGTCCAAAGATTTAATCTTTCAGATAAATGTAACAAGGCTTCATCTCTTTTAAATGTGCTTCAGATTTCAGGAGCCATGTAAGACAACTAGATTTTTTGTGTTTTATATAATGAAAGTTTTATATTAAAACGACAGCATGTGGTGAGAATCAGGAAAATTTATGAAACGTGCAAAACAAAGAATGTTTTAAAAAAATGATTACTTACGATCAAGTCCCCCAATATACTTCATGGTGATTTCACAATGACCCCAGACAGCACTGACAATTGGATAGAGTTTCTTGCCCTTGAGACCTCTGAAAGCAACACCTAGATATTGTCCATCCACCACAAAACTCAAAGTACCTTCATCCATGTCCAGGACGACTAGAAAACTGTCTGGCACAACAAAGTTTTCATCAGAGTTCAGTAATGTCGGGTATGTGACTCCCGGTGTGTTTTTCATATCATGATACAGTTTATTTCTGCCCAGATCCCAACCCCATGAGTCCTTATTACTGCCTACTAGGCTCTGATACCCCACACAATGTAATGGAGCATCGCTGGTGGCGACGCCCACAACAGCATGGGTGCCTCTCTGTCGAGTACTCCAGAATATTTCCCAGACGTGAAGTCCCCGTGTGTAGCCGAACCTGCCTCTAATACAGTCTGTGCTCTGGGCTACTGGATGTCTGTGGAAAGTCATCTGGTCGTCATCTTTAACAAATATATTTAGTGATCTGTCATCTGCATTCCAGGAGTGTTTGATCTGGACTTCACGTGAGGATGGCGGCATGTCCAGTAGAGCATCCAACCTACTGGGCTTTTGAAAATCTGGATTGTAGGCAGGCTCCCTATTGATGGCTTTGTATGTTGGTTCTCTGGCATTGGAGATGGTCTTGATTCCCCCTGAGACTTTCTGCCCCATGTTCATCCTTTGCTCTCGAAGTCCCCCTATGTTTGCAACTGTCTGGACACACAAGTACATTCAAAATCGCAAAAGTAACTCAAATTTAAAGTGTCCCAAACGGCCAGTGGAAAAAGCATACACATAAAGTATTGGCCTCAAATTAAAAGCACACCATCAATAGATCCACCCAGAAACAAGAAAATTTTCACCCAGGAATGTCAAAGCTTCAACTGTCCAATGTTAATTATACATAATAAACTAAACGATCAAATACTTCAGTAGCTTAAAATCCAGTGGCAAAGAAAAAACATGTCTCCGTTATGAGCGACCGCTAAGTAGAAACTTATGGAAACAGTGCACTTTCTCCTTTTTACGTTCCATGAACAGTCAGCAGCAGTATTTTGTAGCTGCCTTGTTTTATAGTTGCATTCCTGAAATGATCATGTTTTTGCATGGTGCTGGACACACAAGGAGACCCCAGTTCTTCTGTGAAGAAAACAATAAACATAATTGTTTAAATGCATTTAAAATCTCACTAAATATTTCACAACAAACATGCCCCAAAGAAACCAATAACCAAAATTATAAGGACTGTTGCTGCTGTGTTGGCACTATAGATGACAGCAAAACATCCAAGTTTGACTCTTTCAAGCATAAGACTTGGCAGCTCCAATGAGGAAGTTAAATGTTTTTATTTTGAAGTCCTGTCCTGGCGTGACTTGAGCTTACTTTGTAACTGTTGTTGGGGGCCGGAATAAAATGTAATCGTTAAAGAGAGTTTCAGGGACATTTTGTGTCACTAGTTAATCACTCATTGTGTGGTCCTGATTGGGTTAAAAGTAATTCAAAGTGGAAGAGAAAAAAACTTTCACAAAAATTATGAGTACAATCTTTGCACACAAAAAACGACTAAACATACAGTGAAAGTGGCCAGATTTGTTATAATGCCTTGGCCAGAGGTAAAAAGAATTTATGCCATGTTTGGGATTCATGGAGACGTGGGATGAGGTCACATTACGCATTCACTGGGACTGAAAGATCTGAAGATGAAGTCTGTAAACATACTAATGGACAGCTTGTGCATCCTACAGACAGTTCGTTGAGTGTTTATCATATTCTTATAAAATGTGCAGCAGAGCACGGCTTTATGGTGAACTGCTTCACAATGCTGTTCATAAAATGCGGTAAAAATCTTTCAAAGGTCAGCCTGTGTACCAGTGAGGGATATTTGTAAATAGTTATGTCTAAAAGATATTTTTAGTGACCAAGAGGATATGACTGATTATAACGCCACTGTCCAGTAGGAGGGGTGATCAGGAAGTAATATGCCTCATTTAAACAGATTAGTGCAGATGTTTGTCCAAATGTGTTGCTATTTGGAATATTCAATAGTTCCTTAAATGGTTTGTGGGGCTACATTATGGGGAGAAAGAAGAGCAGGGCCACTGACTCCTTAACAGGCATGTCATAAGCGTAAATAAATTAGGTTAAGGGTTTCCTTAGAAGTCAGAGTGCATCTGACGGAAAAGGAAAGGAATGAACAGTCTGCATACAAATAAACCATATCTAAACAATGGATGTGTGGGCAAAACTCGAGTTCCCGAACAAGTTTAAAGTCCAGAAGTGGACGAACAATGAAATTATTCAGGTGGTGATGGCAAAGAAGAAGATATTTAACAGTGACGTACACGTACGACACTGGGCTACTACTACCTTGTATCAGTGAGACGACATAAAAAAGAAAAGCACAATTTGAAATGCGTACACCTGTATGTTTCTACCTGCATTTTTCGCCGAGAAAATACATGAGGGGCTTACTTTAGTATCTGAACACCACTTATAACTAAATCCTTGAAGAACATAAGTACGCAGATGTGTCTGCTGTTCACATGGGCTATGGTGATTTTGTGGAATTTATATGCAGCTGTTTGTAATTGTATGGCTGTCTGTCTGCACTGTATGCTGACAAAGGTTTTCTCACTGCAATGTTTCCTTGTCGAGTCTCGTAACAAAGTGGTCAAGCTGTTTGCCTCACGCTCTGAAGTAATATTTACAAGATCTCTAGGGATCATCACCGGAGCTATGAAGGTTGTGCTCTGTGTGACAATCTTGGCAGGCAGCTAGCTATTCTGCAGAGAGAGACTGAGGGATTTGGGATAAAGCTCTGTGCAATGAAGCCGATCCTTTCACCACATTTGTGGTTTGTCACTGTTGTATTGTGCAGCGGACTAGTTCTACTTCTAGTCTGGACTGATATTTTCTCACGACCTTATTAAATAAATGGTCAGGGTTACGTCAGCTGCATGTCCTTCGCCAGATCTCTGGTATCCATTTCAAAAGTCTGGGCCAACAACACGACCGGCCATGTTGGAACACAATACAGTGCTGTCACTGTTAGGGATTCAGCTCAGGACTGGCAGACAAGCAGGGGCTTCCAACAAGACTAATCTCTGTGGTACAGCCTAACTTGAATGTTAAAGCAGCTAGTTTTAAAGGTTGAATCAAGGCACCAATTTTGTCTTCAGGTGGAGACAGGAAGTATAAAAAGTCACAATAGTAAAGGACTCTTTTCCCGCTTTTGTAACACAAAATATTTTGTACTAGACCTATCTTTACAGATCAATCAGTACTCAGTGGGTGATGTGGTCAACATCATGCCGGTCGCCTTTGCTTCCTCGTGACATTATTTAGTATCCATTTTCGGCTGAGTCAATCTAGATGCTTAAGTCCATTTTTTAAAAAGAACCTGCCCTAATGGGGATTTGAACCCTAGACCTCTCTTCCTGCAGGCTGGCATCTAGCCACGATACTACTGTGGCTCAAGGACAGGACCTTGTTGCAAAATATTCAAATGACATTGGTTCCCACACCAAACTGGCGCAGTGAGCCATGGTGCATTGATGGATTAGTTGCAGCACCTACATGCCATGGGTGCAACAATAATACAACTGACATGGCGGCAGGTTAATGTCAAAGTGCTTAAACCTATTGGGTCACATCAGTTACTGAGAGCTCATTTTCAACCTCACATGGGTAACTATTATTTTGAACTTTCACTTGTCTGTCACTGAAGGGTTAGCTAGCTTTGAAAGACCATGTGACCTTAGTCAAGGGACTGACCACACTGTCTCGCTCACACATGGGTACAAATGATATGATTTTTTGTGTGAAGGGCAAACAAAAATATTAGGGCAAGTGCCCCCCCCCCCTTTTACCCCACCCATAAAGCTGTCTTATTTTGTTCTCTTTAAAATGGTAGTTGCATTTTGTTTTGTGATTTACAGCTAGGCCGAAATATCTGAGCCATTAGGCTCAACCCATCTAACTCATTCAGCTGTATTACTGTTTACTATTAATTTTAAAAATGCAATTTGATCTATGTCTTGTTGAGCACATAAAGCGTGTTAGCAGTGTTAACTTAGCGAAAACTGTTTGCCGTATGCTTATGTCACTCTTGCATAAACTGTAAAGTGTGAGACTTACTAGGAAGCTTGCTGCACACGCATACTGTCAACAGCCAAGCGATAAGAATGAAAATATGATACCCTCGCCAGTGTAATGGCCATCGACTATCATTCAATTTTGCCTAAACCGCTTACACTTGTGGAATGATCATACCTCACCACTGGCTGTGCGTCAAAATTTCCAAACAAGACTCAGTGGAAATCTTTGTGTCCCTGCTCTCTTCACAGCTTCTTTTTTAGAAAACAGTCTCAACCGCCCGCATTTACCACTTTTTAGGATGGTACACAACAGGGAGGTCATGACAGCTTGAGGATTTAAAAGCCTGTCGCTGGGAACTGTGCAGGTTAGGATTTCTATTTCTGCCTGAAAATGAAAAAATCCTCTACACAGAAATGGATAATGGTCGTCCAAGCACAGTACTCTATAAAGTTGGCCAGCCACTCCTCCTTTAGAAAATGTACTGCACACTGGGCATTCCAGTCCTCTGATGCAACAGCTACTCTAAGGTACCTCAACTGATTGTTCTCATGGAGCTGATTAAAATGTCTACTATCTCAGCCTTGAAGATGGCCCAAACAGGCATTACTAACTTGTCATGCAATCAAGTTTTGTGTCAGAGATTTGTTATTATCTACTAACCTATTCTGTACAGTCCGGTAATATCACAGCCTAGCTGTAAGCCACAACATACCAACCGCCCTTTTAAGAATGATTACAGGAGAACTGATCACTGAGTGAACATCTGGTGATCTTATCAGTCATACCACTCCCTCACCCCCAGTAACAAATTCAAAATCAGTTTTTCTCATAAACCAAACATCACACTTATAGCTAATTTTACAACTATTCCCTGAATCAAAAATTCCCTGTAGGGTTCCGGGACCCCATTGTTGGCAAACAAATACAGACACCCCCCCCCCCCCCCCACAAGCATGTCATAGGAGTCGGCTAATTGGGGGCATATTTTGAATTTGCAGTGTATCTGCCTGAGAGGCAGAGAATAACCAAAATTTAGGCCCAACTAAGACTTTCCGCAGGTGCTTACAGCTGGTGAACAAAGGAGAAGAAGAAACATTCTAATGTACTTATCAACTTTGAGTTTTACTGACTGCCTCACTTCTTTAAGGAAATTCCAAGAAAACGTGAGAACTACACCTGAGTTACCTTCATGCTACAACCTTGTAATTGTTTCAAAGCTTCAACTAGCCAAAGAGATGAGTATTTTTCATGGACAGATCTCAGGTGATTCAGTGTATTCTTGTTTGTAACTGTTGTGACACTTTCATGTGCTGATGAGGGCTTTTAAGACACAGCGTTCACTTGTCGTTTGTGAATGTGACAATGTGAAGCCGACTAGTTCTACTTTTCATTTGGTCAAATACCATTTTAACTTGTTTTTAGCTGCCCATATTTGATGTTCTTTTGTATAATTTATATTGGGATGAGGTAAATACAGTGACTCTTGTTACCAAAAATATACGCAGGCTGGATGGCATGTGATTACACAAGAAAAACACACAGCATAACATCTTGCCTCATTAAACTGTCCTCTCTTCCTACTAATCTTCTTCTGCCTTATTATCCCCAAAGAAGCATAGGCCCTAAACATGCCA